ACGATTCCTGCAATATTCCTAAAAACACTATTGAAAAAAAAGTTGAGTATACTTCCGAAAACTTTGATGCAAAAGCAATAAAAACTTTAACTGATTGGGATGAAAAGAACAAAGACGTAGATACAACTTTTTTCGTAGACGATAACAAAATTAAACGAGATGAAATTGAAGAGTGGCATAAAATTCAATCAAATAATCCTAATAACTGGAAAGTTATATTTTATGAAGATTTGATTCCAACATATAAAATATTAACTAAATCACAACAAAGTGAAATTGAATCTATCTTAAGCGATAAATATCGTATTGTTTTTAACGGAAAAACATTACTCCATCAAGATGACCAAACCACGATAACTATCAAATTTCCTGGACCACTTGTCGATGACAAATGCCAAATTTACGGATGTCTTGTAAAGAAGAACGAACTTGAAGGGTGGGAAAAAATTCCCAATGTTATGATTAGATTTGATAACATTAATCGATATAGTTGCAGAGCAATTATACATAAAAGTAGTAAAACAAGGTATATTATTTATAGTTATCATCACATTTATATATATGATGAGAGATAAGGTAAACGAGATATTCATTATTACTTATGATCTATCAAAAATGTTTCAAAAGTCATAAAAATTGTGGCATTAGGGCATTGGTATCTCGTGGTCCAGCAACAATTTTCGCACTTTTCAAAGATGAATTGGAAGGTGTAAAAATTGATCGATTTTTCTGGATAGATCACGAGATATTAATTTGTCACTATCATTCTCCTCATGCTAACAATACTCTTATTATAAAATGCATTTGCGATATAGTATCAGAATCGAACAATTTTACACCATTCGTTTCATCTCAGGGAGACGAATCGAATAGTATAAGATTACTCTATTCTGATCGATGGAACATTATATAGTCGATAATATAATCAATTCACCATAAACCTCGTTTTCCTTATTGTTATTATTTATCAATTTTCTAACATTAAAATATTATCACATAAAGTTTAAGCAAAGACGAATCAAAAATATTGTGGTTTATACTTGCTAAACCTAAAGGATATTATTGTCATAGTCTCAGAAAAATTAAAGTTACATACGGAAAACTCGATATCCATGGAGATCAATCTTTCACATATTTAAAAAGTAAAGAAATTTCTAAGGGCAATGTTTTAGTAACCTCTTTTGTTTCTAATACATTAAGAGAAACTACTTTTTACAAAGCCAATGTCAAATCGTGGACAAGCTCAAAAGTTGACTTGAGAATTCAGAAAGTACAAGAAGATAATTCAATAGTGTTTTTAGGAATATTGCAGGAATCGTACGTTCTAGTCAATTTTTTGCCTAAGGTTATGGTTTCAGGAATTAGAAGTCCATAGGTATTGTTAAATAATTCACAAAGATTTTTAAATGGTTCATCACTTCTAAGAGCATCATCTACCGCATTAGAAAGTTTTTCTGACGGGTTAATAATCGATTTAAAAGAGATTTTGATTGCATTAAAAATGATTTGACAATAAACAGTCTTAGAAGGTTTATTTTCTAAATCTCGGAAATATTCTAAAGTATGATTGTTAATAAAGGGAATTTCACTGAATATTAATTCATCTTCTCTCTTTAAGCCATTATCCAGTGAAAATGCTACTTGTTTAGTTTTGGGTTGACACAATAGAATTGTAATGGTATTGTTAATCGGTGTGATTGTAGGGTCTTTTGTATATTTAAACCCGATCTTATCACCATGTCCTAATTTTGAGCGTTGTAGGAGTATACCATACTCTAATGAAAGATCATGAACCCAATCACGCATGTATAACAATCTTGTTTTTTTTGTTTTTATCCATTCTAAAAGTTTTTGTTGCTCACATTGGGTTAGTATTTGTGGAATTATCCTAACAATAGGTTCAACGACGGGTTGGGATGAAAAACATTGAAATATTCGTTCAACCAAGTCATTTGGTAGCAATTCATAAGATGGTTTAAAATCTTCATATGATATTATTTCTGCATATTGATAATCATACAACCCTTTTAACCAATCATAAAGATCTCCGATGGTTTTTATATTTTTCGAAATTTCAAATTGAGGAAATTCATCAAGTGGCATTTCACTAAAAATTTTCGATCCTCCGCCTTTTGCATAGTCAATACCCCATTGAATGTATGTTAACAGACGTGATTGTTTCATGTAACCAATTTCTGACCATTTTTTTATCATGATGGCTCCACCAATGGTGACATCAGTAACTATAAAGTTACCCCATTCATTAAATACCTTTTTCAACCTCTCTTTTCTCTCATTATCATCTGGACAATCAAGAGCATTTACAATATCATGAGAAAATTGCTCTGCTACACTTCCCCGATACTGTACAGTAACTATTGGAATATGTATCCTTATATCATCGCATTCATGAACTAATAAGCCATTTTTGTCATCTGAATTTTTAAATAAATTCATATTGTCTAAAATTGTCCAAGGGATTGTATTTTGTCCCCCTTTTTCTGGAAAACAGATAATTGGATCTGACTTATTCAATTTATTTATTTTTAAGTATCCATTATCGCTAAGTATTTTCTTTGTGCCAGGAACAAAATCATATGCAACGCAATTTCTTCCTTTGTTTAAGTTAAAGTAATTAACAAAATCGATTTTTAACTTTCTTTGTTTTTCAGTATCCAATTCATTATTTTTGTTAAGGTTATAATTTTCATTAAATGTTTGTTCAATATGTTTTAATTCCTCAAGAATTTTTGAACAATCAGGTCTTTTGTCTATAATCGATCCATTTTATAACATATTATATATAAGTAAATTATTTTTTATTGATTATCAAATTCATAGATTAAAAATTATAAAATACTTACCAGGATTGTTATCCCAACATTTTCGATATAAGTTTTTAAATTTAAAGGGTGTTTCTTCTACGATATTATAATTACTGCAGAAAGGTTCAATACCATTATGCGCTATTTCCCACATTAATATACCCAGGCTGTATATATTTGACTTTGCCTTGTCGTAAATACCTTTTTTTTGCAAGAATTCAGGAGGACTATACTTTGAATGCACAATATTATAATTTGAATAAATTTTAGATATCCCAAGGTTTGCTAGTTTCGGAATTCCGTCGTGCACAAGGATATTACATGGTTGCTAAAAATAATAAATAAATAAGACTCTGCAACCTATACGGTACACCTCATACATCACATGAATTAAATAATCTAAAAATATTACCAATTCGGCATGGGCAAGACCCTGATCATGGAGAAATTTTAGACCATTGACCACATGGCGTGTTATCTCAAATTTATCTCCCCATTGCAGTAAATGTTTTTGCTTTAGATAATAACGTAAGTCACCGCCATTGGTGTATTCGTGTACAAAATAATAATTACTATTTCCATCTATTATGCAAATGATTAAAAGAAAATTTGCAATTAATTGTTGAGTAGTCAATTGGACACGATCACGGAATTTAATTTGCAATTCAGGATGAAATAAATAAAATTTCGAGTGATATTTTAAAATCATTTATATAAATAGATTTACGAACCGAATGTAAGGCCGAAAGTTTTAAGCACATTCTCATGTTCAAATGTTGTGAGCTATGAGATATATAATAAAATATACATCAGTTTCGTTTAACAAAATATATCTAACATTAAAGTAAACATCTTATGGGTTCTCAAGCACCTCGTTCAATAGATTGGATGCAAAATTTTAATTAGACAGTAATTCAATAAATTACGAAGTGAGTCACTATTTCGATGAAAAAGAAAGAGAGGCGTACAATCTTTTTTTCATAAAATTGTTCTGATTGGTTAAATTTTTAAATCTGCATTTTGCATCATGAATTTTTAGCAACATCCGAATAATGGAAATCCCACTGAGAAGGTACTTGAGAACCCTAAATACTATGAAATCTAATATTTTTAATTAATTAATTAGAAAAACGCGTACCTCAAGTTTTAACCGTTTAATATAATCAGCACAGTCATCATCTTGTATCTCGAAATTGTCTAACAATTTTAACCTCACACGACCGCCTTCCCTTCGCATTTCACCGAATTCTCCATGTCCATATGTCAGTTCATCATACTTTATTATTTGATCATTATCAACTTCTTTCCTTACTAAATGGTATGGAGTATTTGGCACACTTATTCAAAATAGTATTTTAATACTCGTATTAATTAAAAGTTACTAAAATGAATATGAATAATCATTATATACTCGATTGTAAAATGATATACGTATACTCACATGAGGTCTACAGGTGACTGTTCTGGGTCACCATTAATCACATTTGTTATGAATTCAATTGTTTTTTCATCTGCTAATTTCTCAAGTTCGAATAAAATGCCCACCAATGATGGACGTTGATTCGGATCAGTTGACCAACATTTTTTATAAAGATTTACATAATTTGTAGGTGTGTTGGGGATAACTTTCTCTCTTTCATCATTAGAAATCTTTATGCCTATATTTATCGTACCAAAATTGTGAAATGGTGGAACACCGCTTGTGAGTTCCCATAAAAGAACACCCAAACTATAAACGTCAGATTTCTTATCACGTTTGCCTTCTATTCCATTAATGATGCATTGTGGTTCAATGTATGCAGGCATTCCTGCTAGATTTGAACCCGTGACTGTATTCTCCAGTTCATTTTTTGATATTCCAAAATCTGCAATTAAGGCTTTGCCATCATTCATTAAAATATTTTTGGAATGCTAGCAAAATTTGAGTTTTATTTAATTCAAAATCGTTGGTTGCTAAAATAATGTATTTAAAAAAATAACCTTACCAAATCTCTATGGATGGTCCCCCTATCATGAAGATACTTTAATCCATTTGTAATTTCCGTAGAAATTCGGATAATTTCAGTCCAAGAATTTTTATAAATACCATCTCGTCGTTTGCTTCGTAAATAATTCCGTAAATTGCCACCATTAGCAAATTGTAATACCAGCATAAAACTTCCCGTTCGAGAGTCTGAAATTAATTATTCATGGCAATGGTAAATGAGAATTAAATTTATAAACCAAATTCACATTCTTAAAAAGAAGTCATACTTAATGAAATTCCATAGAATTTAATAATATTCGGGTGATAAATCAAATTAAGATTTTCGATCTACGTACGTGGCATAATTTTGGTTAGAGCATGTTCATTTGTATAACAAAAATATGGTTGTCATTAAGACTAATATAAAGAATGCACTGATTGAACGACTTTACACAATGCTAATTCTATGTTGCAAAAAAAAAAAGAAAGAAAGCTTCAAAGTGAATACACTCTTTACATTTGCATTACGAAAGGCAGCTTTGAAGGATGTGATCTTTTAATATTAATCAGTGCGCTATACAGTTATTAATACGTATTTTATTTGGTTAAACCAATCAAATTCGCCGGTATTTACTATATTTGTTTGCGTCCCTTCCCTGTTACGTTTAGAGCTTTTACGTATCTGTACTGTAGTTTCACATGTTACCATATTTAGCATGTAAATTTTTTGTCTTCTCTGCATAATTTTTATGAGCTCAGTATTAAAGTTTAGTCAGTACTCGGTCTGAACCGAGAATACTGATTCAGTCCAACTTGAACCAATTAACATTTCTAACTTAATGTTTCTAATCTGCATCTATTTATCGCTATACTGTATCCTAGCTTATTTATAGGGATAATAAGTAATACAGTAAATTACCTCACGTTTAATGTCTTTAAATCTTCTATCGTCCACAAATAAATTATTATTAAGACTTTTTAAAGCATACTTTTTGTTTTGGAAATTTGCTGAAAATACGACTGCATTCCCTCCATTATCGATTGGTTTAAGGTCACTGAATTGCGAAAATTCAAATCTTTTTAAATCTGCAGATTTTAGATAACTTTCTATTTTTTCAAAACATTCTTGTATAAGTTCATCCGAGTTGTTATATGAATCATGATCCCCTTCCTTTAAAGCTTCCATTAATTCCATTCTAATTCAGGAAAATTAAAAAACGTTTTCGATCAAGTTTTCTGTGTAAATTCGGTTTATATGAGAGATACTAAGTAGATCAACGTTATGAAATGTCATAAGTAATGAATTTGTCTTATTTTATAAATGTGCTCAATATAAGCTTCTATTTTGTAAAAAGTATCAATAATGAAGAACGTCTTATTTTTATTTTTCTAATTCAAATCATAACAAAGGTCAGATGGTCAAATTGCCACACTATTTTGGTAGTATGACAAACGGAGCCCGGAATACGTGTGTACGTTTAAGTTTTAATGAGTTTGTCATACGTATGTACGTATTTTTTAATAAAAATAATAATGATAAGTGTTTTGATTCTTTTATCGGCAATCGGAGATTTATTATGAGACACGTGAGTAGTGTTAATTTTTCAATTAAAATTTACTACGCGGATTCCACACAATTTATAGATCTTTCTGTGCGGCAAATAAAAAAAGAAACACGAGAAACTATTTGCAACTGTGCGGCATCCGCACATCTATTCAAAAAAAGTGTGCGCAAAATTTTGTTTCTGTGTGCTGCACACAGTCCGCACAGTGAAAAATTATCACTGATGGTAGTAATAAGAAGAGTAAAAAAAAAGAATACATATGTATGTATGAAATACTTAGACTACGTATCAGGTAAATAACTGTGCTAGGACGTGCCAGGGACTTATATATTAATTGATGTAAAAATGATAGTTCTCTCGGACTTACAGTAAATCATAGTAAATTAGTGAATCATAAAATTTATCACCAGACAGCAAAATTATAGATTACACCGTTCAATATGTTATCCTCGTTAAGGAACAATGTCAGTGTGCTTTGTGACCTTTATCGAGATTTTGTCGTTTCTGATACATATCAAGATTTAAACAAATATATTGCTGCTTTTTGTTATGTATTTCTCATAATATTTACATATATATCAATGATATATTGTATATTGATACGCAACATAAATAACAAGTGACTCTTTATTTTCCCTAATGTTCAAAATATTAAAATCATAAGTTATATATATCACAACAATCAAATATTCATACCACCTAAGTAACTAATAAAATTCGGCATACACATGATTAAGATCCAATCGCCATAGGCAGTAAAACAATGCATTTGATTTAATTGTATAGATTTTAAATTATCGTATGATGCGCTATGATAACTTTCATAAAATTACTCTAAGGTCACATGTGCAATATATAGAAACCCCGCAGCAAAAGGGTGCATTGAGACAAAAATTTTAATTTTGTAGTTTTAAAAAAATTGTATCCCTATTAATTTCAAGAAATCAATTAAAATAAAAAAAAATTTTTTGGCTCAATGCACCCTTTTGTTGTGGGGATCCCATATAGAAAACGAATGTAGAGCTTTATTTCAATTGGTAACAAAAAAATTATTACGGCATTTACAGCTGTTCTCAAATTCTGGGACAAGTGATAAAAATTTGGCCGAAATTAATTCGGCCGAATCCGATAAGCTTTTGATCTCGGGTACAT